GTTATATCAATTTTCTATTTTCTCATGTCTTTATTTTTTATGCTTTCTTCAAGTTTTTTCTCCTTTCCTATCTTCTATGGATATCAAATATATATATTTTAATCTACCTGGATTCCTTTGAAATTTTATGTATTTTTATTTTGTCCATTTAAACACATTATTCTGAGGAAATCATAGCTTTCACCAGACTGTCAAAGATTCCACTGTACAAAAAATTTTAAGACCTCAAGTTCAAACAAAAAGGGAAAACAAACTGTTAGAAAAATGGATGAGAATATAAGGTGTTTGCTGATGATTTACTAGAAAGTCAAAGAGTATTTAAAATGAGTTATTTGAAAATAAGACCATTAGGGCAGCATTCTGTTCTTGATTTATAAACGTGGAGAGTAAAGTCACTTGCCTGACTCAACCAGCAATAATTAGTAGCCCAATGAAAGAGAAAATGTCAATAAAAGACGGAAGATTTTTACCAACACACAACACACAAATATTGTTGGTAAACAATATTTCAACAAGAAAAATAAAATGAATTTGAAGAAAGATCTCAGTAGGTAGGTTTGTTTGATCACTACTGATAACAAGAGATATGAGAAATGACTACTTACTTCCTAACATTTTATGTGTTCTAGTAGAAACAAAAATAATCAATGAACTGCACATTTCTAAAATAAATTGTTTCTACAATGAAAAGAAATCTAAACTTTGTCAACTAAGATTTTTCTTTAACCTCTCAGTGCTAAGATGAAATCTAAAGGACAACTAACCTAAAGAAATTATTCGATGGGGGCAAATGATATGAGATCATTTGCGTTTCATTTCTAGCAAGGAAAGATAGACAAGGCTGGCATTCCAGTAGGCATAGGTAACTCTGCTCATATGCTGTAGTGTATTTACATTCCCATTTGAATATAGGCATAATACCTTCCCCAAAGTAATCCATATTCCTAAAGTAAGGAAATAGAGATATATGGAAAAAGACCAGGACTCAGAAGGCAAAGTAAGATTCCATATCTGAGTTTATCAAGAAATTCACTAATGTCAGTTATTAATCATCTGCATACATGATTTCTTTTTGTCTTCATCTTTTCTGATTTTACAAATTGACCCCAGAGCATTTCTGTTTCCCAATGATAACCTTCGACCTGCTTCATCCAATTCCTCAAAGTTTACCATTAAAATGTTAATTAAAATAATCCAATTCTACATATCTTGATATTTAAGTATGGTCTGATCCTGTCTGTCAGTTAAGATGCAAATCAATTTCTTTACTCTAGTGAAGATCTCAGAGTACTGCTTTTTTAATGACTTTGTCATGACAAGCACTATGTATGCTTTTGGGGCTGTATAACCCGATGTTTCTTCAGAAAAAAAGCACAGAGAATCATTAAATGAAGCCCAAATCTCACTTAATAGAATGACACCATCCATTTGCCTTCTTTTAAAAACCTGCAAGTTTAATTTTTATCTCTTTATTATGTCCAGAAGTATTTTATCACATGAACAAAAACAGCTGAAGCATTATCTCATTCAATATTTTGTGATATTATTGTTAGTTTGTTTAATAAATAATTTTTAACATCAGTTTAAAAATAAAATTTTTAGAGATGTGTTGGTATGTGTTTGTTTCTATGCATATATGTCTTATTACTTATAACTAGTTAATATTTGTAATTTAATAATATACCTGGTGCAAAATTTATAACTAAGAAAATTCAGAGTATGTACGAGTAATGAATTAGTACAGATGGCACAGTCTCACATATCTATTAGGATTTCTAGCTTTCTAGATCCTTCTGTGTCCTCTCCACAGCTCAGACTGATTTCTTCTTCCTTTCTTTCTAACAAAAAGAGACTGGGCTTTGACGGAATTTTCTGTGTCCTGAGGCTATCCTCAGGTACAAAGCAAAAACATTCCAAGAATGTTTAACCAGAGTTCTCTGGGTCTCCTTTACTGACATTATTACAATTTAGAGTCTATTTTTCCTTATTTTCTTGTAAAGTTACCTCCTTTTTTTTCTTTTTATAGACACTCATTAAAGAATATTTCTCACAGCTATCTAAATGTTAAATAAAACTGCATTTACTTGTGCTTTCTATAGCGTATTTTGAATCGCTCTTTCCAGATACTAGCATATCATATAGCCTATGCCAATATATACTATTAAAATAATTTTTTGGTAAGCCAGATTAAAAGGTCAAGTCATCTATAAGGGGTTCAAAAATATGATTAATCTCAGATTAACCAATTGGAATAAAAAAATTTCAAAAGTTAAATATTAAAATACTTTTTGAAACTGAGTGATGTTACATGGAGATTTATTGTATTTCCTGTTTTCTTTCTATATGTTTGAATTTTCCATAATGAATGTTAAAAAAATATTTAAATATGACCACCACTGTTCCTTTTTAAAAATTTGTGTAGTTTTTTTGGTGGTTTTATTTTTTAATTTTGCATCATACTATTATTATTATTTGTTAAATATTTAATACTCTCTTCACCAATTTATTCTCTGTATCTATGAGCTTGTTTTGTTGTTGTTGTTGTAGTATTTGTTGTTTTTTCTATTTCACATGTAAGAGAGATCAAATGGTATTTGTCTTCCTCTGACTGATTTCATTTAGCATAACGCCCTCGAGTTTTATCCATATTGTCACAAATGGCAAGATTTCATTTTTTGTAACCGAATAATATTCTGGGGTGTGTGTGTGTGTGTGTGTGTGTGTGTGTGTGTGTGTACACATCCCACATTTTCTTTATCCATTCATCTGTTCATGGACAGACTTTGTAATTGCCTTCCTTCCTCTCCTCCACCAGCCATTGCCTGGAGCATGCTGACCTGTGACTTTGGTTATGGGTTTAGAGCCAATAAATGGTTATTGAAGTAGATTTTGAGGAAAATAAGCATCCCTTTGCATGGAAACTTTTCCAGGTGAGGTTACTACAGGGTCTTCAAATAAAGCAAGGCTAATGCCCTGTGACATGGGAAGATTGACTGCTTGCATGAGAAAATGAGTTCAAGAATCTCACCTTTATTTATCCAAGTTCACACAGATGTCATCATTCCCAGTGTGAAGTTCCTACTGTTTTCCTATCATTGCTCTAAATTTCATTTGGTGAGAATTGATGAGTCTGTGAATACATCTTATATAGTAATTCTCTTATATAAACAATTAACTTTTACGTCTGGCTTACAGCTATAAAAAAATAAGATAATCTTTCAGGACCACTATATAAGATCATTGATTGTCTGACTGTCACCAGTTGAATATTTAAAATCTTAAATTGTCATAAGTTATTCTATGCAGTTAGAAGTAGCCATACCACTCACAGTCCTTTTAGTCATTCTTAGCACAATAAGAGTCAAGAGCAGTAGCCACTCGACTGGTAAATATATAAGAGAAATTATCATTTAAATAAAGGTAGCATCTCGAAGCAGAAGGCTAGCCAACCATAGTAAAATAAAGTTGTATCCATACTTGACTATATATGTGTGTGTATATACAAAATTAATTAAAAAAAATTTTCAATTGGAAAAAAAAGCAAACCATGAGAGCAATAGAGAAAAATATAGGAAAATTTAATGGAAAATACTTTTCTAACTATAACTCAAAATCCAGAAGTCATAAGAGAAAAGATTGATAAGTATAACTATATAAAATCTGAAAACTTCTGTTTGCATTTTTAAAAATATAAAAAAAGGCTAAAGACACAAAACAAACTGGAGAAATATTATCAATTCACAACATAGAAATGCTAATCTTTCTAATATATAAAGACCTAGAAATTGATCAAAAGGTAGAAAAATTAGCAAACCCTATAGAGTTCAAAAAAATAAATTCAAAAGGCTCTTAAATATATGAGGAGATACTTGACTCCTAACGCCACCTAATGCCACCTAATGGGTGGGGTTCTTTGTCTCCAGTTCTTATACTCAATGTCTGTTACTACCAGTATTCTTAAAATACACGTGCAAATAACGTTGGGGCTTTTGTTTGAGGTCATCACCTCAAGTCCTTTGCCCCTGACAAGGCAACTCCTCCAGTTAAAGCAAAACCTGAACTCCTCCAGCTGACATATTAAATTGGTAAAATATTAAAGTCAATGCAAAAGAATGCCAGTATAGTTTGGTTTATTGTTTTATGAATTTAGATGCTATATGCTTTAAGTCATAAAACAAGGGGGGGAAAGTATACAAATAATAAAAATTTGATCAAATATGTTTTGTCTTTGAAATGGGTATCCATTATTATAAAAGCTTATTAAGAAGATGGCACCAGATTTTAACCATAATAGGTTACATACAAATACAAATTCTGAGGTGAAGCTGAGTAACAACGGGTACAACTCTGGCATCCCCAGCCCTCAGGCCTTCACATTACAGGGCAAAAGAGCTGAAAGTCAAAAGAGATGTCTTTTCTAAGAAATTGAAAAGTACTACTATTCTACATGAGTGATCCTAATTAACAAAGTTAATGTGACTTTGAGACTGAAATTATTAACTGTCTACACTTTAAATTCACAGTTGTCTGTAAGCTTCAAAACGTGCATTTGCACAAAATGAGTCACGATTTTGGGGCTTTGCCAATCATTAGAAATGGTAATAATGCCACATTTCCAAATTAAATTTTAGTTTTATTTTCCAAGTAATTGATTCCTTCATGAAGTTTCTGGTCAGTGACTCACATGAATCCAAAACATGCCAAGTTTAAAATGAGAAAGGTTGTGCAAATCCAAGAAATCAGATCCATTTCTATTTGCATCTTAGAGCCTTTCCATCATCACTCCACATAAAGAAATTACTGGCCTGAATCAGTGAAGTCTTTAGGCAGTTCCAGCCCAAAGCAAAACTGTCTCTCTTCTTGACCTGGATCACAGTAGGAAAAGAAGACAAAGACAGTTGTTGCATGACCTATGTGGCAGACATATATATTATTCTTCACTGGTCAACTGAAGGTCAATTCATCATTAGTGATATCCAAAATCAGAACTCTCTGCTGACATGCTAAATACAATGGAGGCAATATATATGATCTTGATTGCTGGTGAAATGACTATAGGAATTTGGGGAAATGGATTCATTGTACTGGTTAACTGCATTGGTTGGCTCAAAAAGAGAGATATCTCCTTGATTGATATCATCCTGGTCAGCTTAGCCATTTCCAGAATCTGTTTGTTGTGTGTAATATTTTTAGATGGCATCATAACGCTTCTTTCTCCAGAAACATATGACCAAGATGAACTAATGAACATTTTGGATGTTTTCTGGACACTCTGCAATCATTCAAGTGTCTGGTTTACCTCTTGCCTTAGCATCTTCTATTTACTCAGAATAGCCAATATATCCCACCCATTTTTCCTCTGGATGAAGCTAAAGATTAACAGGATCATCCTTGGGATTCTTCTTGTGTCTTTTCTCATCTCCTTAATTTTTAGTATTTCATTGAATGAGGGCTCCTGGAATTATTTCAAGGTCAATCATGAAGAAAACATAACTTGGGAATTCAAAGTGAGTAAAATCGCAAATGCTTTCAAACAGATTACCCTGAATCTGGGTGCTATACCTCCTTTTGTTCTTTGCCTGATCTCATTTCTCTTGCTACTTTTCTCCCTTTTTAGACACACCAAGCAGATGAAATTTCATGCCACAGGGTTCAGAGACCCCAGCACAGAGGCCCACATGAGGGCCATAAAGGCAGTGATAATCTTTCTGATGCTCTTCATTATGTACTATGTAGCCTTTCTTGTAGTAACCTCTAGTCTTATGATTCCCCAGGGAAAATTAGCAATGATGTTTGGTGGCATAATAACTGTCATTTTTCCATCAAGCCATTCATTCATCCTGATAATGGGAAACGGTAAGCTGAGGGAGGCTTTTCTGAAGGTGCTAAGGATTTTGAAATGTTTCCACAAGAGAAGGAGCTTTTTTGTTCCTTAGATAATCGTGAGTACAAGGAGAAAGAAATCATCAAAGACACTCTCCCTTTTCCCAATTGACTGCATTCGTTTTTATTATCTGCTATTGGAAATTATTAATACCTATCATTATTCTAAATTTTCCTTTGTGTTTCTAACTTGTTTAATTTTGAATCTAATGTTATCATTGAGCCACATATGTTTCTTTGTCTTCACAGGAAAACTCAATCTGAATCCCATGCTAATATTTCATATTGCTTAAATACAAAGAGGTTCTACTTCTTTTTGCCGTACACTGGCAAAAGCCTTTGAACTGAATGAATAGAAGAATTTCAGGCAAACAGGTTGTGGGGAAGAGATTTTTAAACACATCAGCCCTTCCTATAAAATCAGTCATGTAAAAAACTGCCTACTTTATCTGAACCAAAAGTCAGTCCTTATCTTTTCTGCCTTATCATCACCTCTATTTCTGGAATGATTCATCTTTATCAGGAAGGGGAAAAACACTCTGGTAAGAGTTTGCCTAGTCCTATTTCCTAGAAATACTGTTTGGTTAAAAAACAAACAAACAAAACCCCCCACATTTTTAAGAAATGTGATTGCCTGTCTAGAGAAATGACTACAATACAGAATATGAAATCATAAATCTTATAAAAGGAGTTAATTTTAATTAGAATAATTTAAAGTGTGCATTTCTTAATTTTAGATGAAAATGTTAATTATCTAAGAGACATTTTGGAAAGTGAATTGTCATGGATAGCATTTCCCATATCATTATTATTATTATTATATAATGTATATTTTTTAGTGGGTCTTTGGGTTTATTATACAACTGAATGAAAGATACAATTTAAGCATCATTTGCTATTTACAGTTGTCACTCTGCTGGGCATTGGGATAGGATAATATGCCAGCCTTTTTCATCATATTTGCTTATTCTTTATATTAAAAACTTCACTATTACTTTTAGTAGGACTGTAAGCAGATTGGAAGGTTAAAAGAAATAAAAACGAATAATACACACTCACGAAAACAGACGTACAAAAAACAATAGATAATGCTGCTTTAACATTAGTCTTTACTTTTAAGCCATTCA